TGGGATTCCCTTGGAGGACTTGGCCCAAGTGGCTGGGGAGAGGGAGGTCTGGACCTCCTTAATTAGTCTGCTACCCCAACTGGATAAGCGGAAGACGGATGGATGAATGTTGTCCATTAACATTTGTAATTGCGTGGGATCAGCAAAATGGCAAGCCCAAATCATCAACCCTCCATCACTGTGCTTGATCATGAAATTTTCTTTCCAGTTTTTTGAACTGAGGTTCAAAAAACCTCAGAAGCCCTGTTCTTCCTCAAAGAACAGGGCTTCTCTAAAACATAGCTGCTTTCCTAAATAGTGTAAGAATGAAGCAATAGGAAGAATATTCCTTACAAAATGAAGTCAAACTGTTTTCATTGCTGATTCATTGTTGCATGAGTAATGTTTTGGCAGAGCTTTCCATTCCAGGTGTTCACCCTGAATTATATTAACTGTCACACCTGGTGTATGAAATAAAAGTGAGTATGAAAGGTTAGATCCCATGCTGTTACGGTCCTGAATGAGCAAATTCAATCAAGGTTCACAGTGTTTAAAATAGAAGGTGTGATTCATTCATTCAGATGTTTATTTCATATTTTTATGCACACAGGGTAAATATTGGCCATTGATAGCAGTAGAGTGTTTTGACCTGAAATAAACACATACAGCCTTGAATTTGATCCTTTCTACACACTTGGTTTCTGAATGCCAACATAGCCTGACCAAGAAAAAGCTTCAGCTGTTGAGAAACATCTGATGTTATGCAAAGGTAAAGGCCTTGGCTCCAGGTCAGCTCTTTCTTAAACAACAATTTTAAAAGAAGTCAGGAGCCAAAGAGCTAGAGCTCCCCAATGAAGCCCCTTCACTAGGACCTAAAGATGTTTTGTTCTCCTCTTTTAAAAATATGTTCCTTTTAATGTTTTATTGTGCTGATCTTGACATGATCAGCTGCTCAGACCTGGAGCCCTTCACTGTTTATATAAGCTGGTCTTAAGAACCCCCACCTACTCTCCCTAGTAACAACCACCTCTCTTAGTATGGCTCTTCCACTTCAGACGGAGCTCATGATTGGTCTATATTTTTATATCGAATTGCTGGAGATGAACAGTCATGTTTCAGGTGGTGGGTGTGGAACTGAAATCTGTGACAGTGTGTTAATTCTCAGTGAGACTCAATAAACCAGGACAGTGAAAAAATAGTTTTTTTTTGTGCTTTTTGTGAAGGAACTGATTATGTTAAACCAGGGCCGGACCATGCCTCCGTAGGGCCCTAAGCGAAATTTGGTTTTGGGGCCCTCTAGCTTTGCTAACAACGTGGACTGGATGCAATTAGCAGTCCAATCATTAGATCATTCACACATCTGCTATAAACTTATTGCATCTCTGGCAGTGCTGTTTACATTATATGCATGTATAATAGGATACATTTATTGGCCATCTGATTTATTGACCAGTTGATTTCTGGGCGCCGATTTCCTTAATTTTGGGGGATAGTGATCTGCTGATATTTACATGTGAAGCCGATCTTATCCCCTAATATTATCTTCATCAGCAAAGGTTTAAAAATCTGCCTCTGTTGTCTTCTGCTCTACAGTGAGAGGTGTGACTGACAGACCGGCCCACCAGGTCAGGTCTGCACATTTGCAGTTAACAATATTCACCCCACTGTTGCCAACTCAGTGACTTTCTTGCCATATTTAGCAATATTTCAGACAAAAAAAATAAAAATAAAAAAAATAAAAAAATGGTATCATCCAAAATCGAAATCGGCAGGTTAGACTTTTTAAAGATCAGTAATTGGCCAGAAAACTGCAAATGGTGCAGCCCTACACACATATTCATTACATTCTTTGATTAAATAAATTTTTCTTAAGCATTACTGCAATTGCTAAAAATTTAATTTATACCAGGTGAGTCTTTCTCCCCTGGAATGTGAATTGGTACGGGACTGATTCTGAGCATTCAAATGATTCTAATAGAAGTTTCAGATAAATTGATGTAAAATATAATATTTGTTTTAGCCACAAAATGATTATGCTCAGCAACAAACAGCATATCCCAAACTACAGCTTAGAATAGCTCATCCATGTAGCAGCTATGTAGCCTGACGTAAAAACATTTTGCTAGACAATGTCAAACATTGAGAAGTTTTAATTATTGTTATCAAATGTTATCAAATATGGCGTTTTGAAGTAAAAAAATACCTCAGAAATATACAGAGCCAAGCGGGAGAATCAACTCATTTAAAGTTTAAACTCAGTTTCACACAAACACAAAGACCCTAGCAGAGGGGTGACCAAAGTTGGTCCTCCCTGGTTTAACACACCTGGATCAAATGATGGCTCAATAGAGGCCTAAGAAGAACATTGACTTGTTGAGAAGGCTGTTACTACAACCAGGGACAGAACTAAAACATGCAGGACGTCGGCCCTCCAGGACCGACTTTGGGCACCCCTGCCCTAGCATAAATGTCTGGCTGTTGAACTCGACTGTTCAAGCTAATTTTCTATTAGCAGCTTTACAAATCTTTTACATTACATTACCAAGGCACATTAAAACAAACCTTTATCTTGGCTTTTTTCTATTCTTCCTCTGTGTTTTCTCCCTCCCTGAAGGATTTTTGAGACATTGTTTTGCTTACTTAACTTCTGACCGGAGCTTTGGGCGTTTGGATGCACACTGCACATTGCACAACAGCTCATACCAGCGAAGAGTGCGGTACCTACCGCGGCCACCAGGGGCCCCAAAGAGCAATTTGTTTTTCTTTTTATCAATAAAATAATTATTTCTACATACATGATCAAATATACATATAATGTAAAAAAAACTAATCACTTCATAGTGAAATTGTGTGTATTATAATTAAATAGAAATTATTACAAAAAAGTGTAATAATAAAAAAAAATAAGCTCCACTAAGCGGCTGCTTAGTTTGTTAAGCTCGGTGTCACTTTCTGCACACTATAAAACAGAATTTGTGGTTAAGTAAGCTACCTTTCTGAAATTGATGTGGAAATCAATGTCAATAGTTTTTGGGTTTATCTACTGCAATTTTGTTTTCCTATTTTGTGCTTGTGGTTCATAGTGCTAGACTGTGAATGCTAAATGCAAATGTTCCTACTATAAAACTGAGGCACTGGAACTGCAGGCCTGAGCATAAGAAACATCTTTTTCACTTCACTGAGGCTCTGCAAGCTAGCTTACAGCAAACTTACATGTTATTTATGGGAATTTCATGAGCGCTTAGCATAAAGTAGTGCAACACTGATGTGAAAGAATGAAGATATATGGTTTTCAAAACGTCTAACAACTGAAAGTCTGAAAAGATCTGTGATGGGTATTTCAGCCTCCATGAATCCAGACGGCTACAGCTCCAAATGCAGGTCTTCAGGGATCTGTCTGAAATTTATTTTCTCTTTGGAAAATACACCGAGCTCAGTCTAACTTAACCATAGTTTCCATGAACAAAAACATTCCACGTCTCACAGCAAATTTAGTTTAATTTAGGTCTAGATTTTGACTAGACCATCATACGAATAGGCGTTGATCTAAAGCACTCTGTTGTAGTTCTGGCTGTATGTTTAGAGTCACCTAAGTCTCAAGTCTTCTGCAGCCTCTAACAGGCTTTTTTCCAAGACTGTCCTGGATTTAGCACCGTCCACCTTCTCATGTCTGGCCTGCTGAAGAAAAGCTTCCCCACAGCATGATTCTGCCATTTGTATGTCTCCTAACTAATGATGCAGTGTTACCATCACTTCACACAACTTGCTAAACACAACCAGGTCATAAACCTGTCTGCCATATTTTAGGTGAAATTACACTTTGGGTTTTTGGATGGGTTGTCTAGTAAGTTACTTTGCTACTGTGTTCTTGCACAGTTTGGTCAGAACTCAAAGACTTGCAGTATTGTGGATAATGTAATGAAGAAATAATGGTCTCAGGTTTAAAAACCTGGTTATTAGTGCATTGTCACAAGCAGCTTTCATTACTTTATATTTTAGGGTTGGATATTGTTCAGTGGACATTTGAACAGTAATGTCAGTGAAAATGACATGATTGCAACTAAGAAAAAACTTGCAGCAGTATTAAAAGTGCTCAGACTGTAATTATCCTCAAGTGAAATGACTATAAGGGCAAACAGGAGCAAACCGGCTGGGTCATGGTGTTTCTGTTCCTTGAGAACAAGCTAAAGTGCCTTTCCTGTGTCGCCCTTCCCTGCCTGTCCCTCGTCTCATATTATTTCCTTCTTGGCTCTGATGAAGTCAGGGCCGAATATACTGAGAGAGGGGAAGATGGTGGAGGGGGCAGAAAAGCCTTTTACTGAGCAGGAAAACGGTTTTTGGTTATCAAGCTAACACAGGCTACACCCTCTGTGTGTGTTTCCTTCATTTTTCTATTCTCTTCCACTTTTCCTCCACTTATTTCTAATACATTCTTGGAAAACATGGAGATGTTTAATAGGAGATAACCCCCCCACCCCTGCCTCCTTGTCCCCCCTTCTTATGTGCACTAACAACTGCCATTTTCCAAAGCTCCATGGATTCATTTGGTGGAGTCAGACAGACCTGTTCAATGGAATGTCATTCAAAGATTTAAGATGGTTTAAACTAGGGGTGCTCAATGCAGCACCGAGAGAGAATAAATAAATAAAAAATCGCACTTCTAGACACTCAAAGTACACAAAAAATGTATTTAAAGGCTAAAAAAAGTGGATTTTGCATGATGTGTCCTCTTGAAATCAAAACAGTGCGTAGTTTATTCAATGCTAGCTTTATTGTTATGGGGCAGTTTATGACCTTTAAAAGTCTTAAATTTTTATTTCATGATCAGAGAATAACCCTCTATGCAGACGGCACTCACTTATTTGTACCAAGTTTAATAATTATATTTGCTACATAACAAGTATAACCAGACATAATGTCTAATTTGGATATTTTTTCATTCAAACAAATCCCCCTGTCATTCGCCTCCATATCTAACAAATTATGTTATTTTAATTTCTTTGTACTTTTGTTGTTTGCAGATGATGAGCTGCTCATTGAGCGAAGCATCTACAAGGGGAAGATTAATCCTGGCGAGGGGAAGCAGCCAGTCGAACATAGAAGCTTCATCGCCACAATTAAATACACCATGCGTGTGCGCTGTGATGAACACTACTATGGCATGAGATGCAACAACGTATGTCGTCCCCGTGATGACTATTTTGGACATTATGTGTGCGACCATTTTGGGAAGAGACATTGTATTGAAGGCTGGGAGGGAGAGGATTGCAAAACAGGTGAGCAGATACAGAAGAATACAGACTAAAAGGCAATAGAGTTGCAAATTAAAAACATATTTCTAAATTTTGGGACACAAGCCAGTTCAATGAACAAAATTTGAACATAAAAATATATGAAAAAAAAAAGAACAATTGTCTTCACTTCACAGATTTTCTTGTCTTCCTTTCTAGGAGTTGATGATTTTCTTTCTGGTTTTTTTTTTTTTTTAAGAAATTCAAAGGCAGTGGAACAAAAAAGAGTAGAGTCATAAGTAGAGCAGCTGGACAGAATAAGAACTACACAGAAATGCTTCCTTAGGTCATTGGTCACATGTCCAAAGTCAGATCTGACTTCCTTGTTTGTCGTTTTGGAAAAAGCTCAGAGGCTGACGGAAGTTCATGTAGAGTGTCACTTCAGAAGAATCTGAAGAATGCTCCCAAACTCATGTCGGTGTTGAACATCACCACCAACTCTTTCACAATTTGTTTCCCGTCCACTGCAAAAACTACAGCTACTACATCCCACAAGCAAAGACACAAATGCAGATTTCCAGAGCAATATTGAGGTTTTCTGTGAATTAAAATAGGTAATCAGTAGGAATATTTCTCAACTCAAAAATATGTTTTCTTTTTTTCTCTCAAAGCCATCTGTAAACAGGGATGTAGCTCATTACATGGGACCTGCAGCACCCCTGGGGAATGCAAGTAAGTCAGCTCTTTTATGCATATGTATGATTTTCCCTGTTTGCTCCTCTGGCCACATGCTGTTGGTGATTTATTCATATCAGATGATGAATTTAATTCCTACAAGCACATAATAATTTATAATTTATTATAAATTTATTTGTTTATACCTAGTCATTTTGAACTATTCACTCTTTATTAGAGATGTGCCGATCAGGTTTTTTCCTGCCGATACCGATACCGGTCACCCATGAGGGCCAATCACTAGGCCTGTCGCGATAAACGATAAATCAATTAATCGCACGATAAATTAAACCTATCGATCTCATTTTAATTATCGGCTTTATCGTCTCTTCCTGCCTTTTTTTCTTTCTCTTGATGACACTGAATGAAGAAAGGCTCAACTCCGGTGTTCTCCGCTGACCCTCCCTTCCTCATTTCCTTAGTGTCGCCAATGTCACTAAAAGCACACAAGATGGAGTAATGAGCAATTTCGCCTTGGGGATCAATACAGTATATTCTATTCTATTCTATTCTAATGCAGGCTAGACAGTGTCACTCCCCTTCCTAATCTTGCAAAGTGCCCCTCATGCTCCAAGTTCATCGTTTTGCTCTGCTCTGAGACCCTTGTTCTGCTTCCTGTCATGAAGCTGGCCCGCTCCTGGCCGTACACACGCACGCACACGTTTGTCACGCTATCTTTGTGGGGACTTTCCATTGACTTCCATGCAGTTCTACAGCCTAGCCCACTACCCTTA